AGAGAGAGAGAGAGAGAGAGAGAGAGAGAGAGAGAGAGAGAGAGAGAGAGAGAGATGTCCAGAAAAGAAAATGATCCTCCCAAGACAGTCCATTTCTAACATGTTTGCTGTGAATAAGTCAGGGTAGATATAGATCTCTTAATCAGTTTGCTAAATACCTTTATGGATAAATCAACATTCAACAGCTTAATGGCTCACATCTCTTTTGCTCAGGCAGACAATAATACTATGCTTGGGGTTGTGTTTGATGTATCTGCCCACCCATATACTTAGTAAGTTGCTTTCGTTTTAAATTCCTGTCCTTATAGTCAAGCATGTTGGTCCCTCACTATACTGTCTGCAGCTCTTTCCTGCCTGTCCAGAAACAAACGATTTCTTTTTTGGGTCAAAATGGAGAGCAAGAACCCCTCAACAGGGTCATTTCTCCAAAACATCTGCTTTGTTTAAAAAAGTACCCAATCAGTGGTACCTGGAGATTCAGAAAAGGTGTTATTATTATCTCCGAACTTCTGGAATTCATACATTCAGACTGATGAAACAGAGCTACCTACCTTTAAGGATATGCAATGCATCTATCCTAGCTTCACCATTCCAGAGTGGAACAGAAATCAATATACAGTTTTTTCAAAGAGCTCACAATATGTATCTTGTTTCAGAAATTTTTATAATAACAACCGCCCAGATGGATGTCTTAGCAAGCAGAGAAGAGCTTTGGCCATTCTAAGCCAGCATGACAGCATTGCAATTGTTAGGACTAAGACTTATTTGTGTACATTTTCCATGAACTTGCAGTTCTTTCACACATTGTACATTGCCCCAATTGGACGCAAAGCTCCAAAATGTTTCATGAATTTAATTTTTTATTCCTATAATAATGTCCCATTCCTGTGTCCTTCATTTGAAAGTCTTATATGTTTCTCTATATTCATTGACATTTGTATTCATTCAGGTGATCCATGATCTAATCTCAGTTTATTCAGGAGAAAAAGCAATGCAAACCCCCTAATAGTAATGCCTACTTCTTGTAACTCAAGAAGTAAATTTTTCCATATAGATGGAAACTCAGCATTAACTTGTTTTCAACGTCTTTCTCCATGGAACGCTAACCCATTCTCCTGTCAATCATGTCATCTGCAATCCAATATGGTACAAATACATAATGCAGAGCAAAGGCAGAACAACAACTATCAAAATGCATGAATTATGTAATTCATTTATTATAAAATGTACTCCTACAGATCTATTATATTACATCTACTCAGTGGAGTATAATCTTTTAAATTTTACATAAAGTTGTAACCATATAAATTGCCTTTTTTAAAAAAAAGTTACTAAACGTAGTTCCTGGCTATTATGTCCTTATATTTGTATGTGAATATACATATATGTATACATAATGTAAGGTAACTCTCACCAACTCTAGATCTGAAGGCACTATGAAAGAATTCCAGTGGCTGCTATGTGTTACGTGCAAACCTTATTTATAGTGAAATAAAGTTTATTTATTTACTGTATTTAGTTTTTTCCCCTCCCCCCTGCATGGTATAGTAGATTTAAATTATTGGGATTGGGGGGGGGGGATCAGAGGGATGGCTTCCACCTGCCTTTTGTTTTGGGAATGGAGTAATATTTGTTTCCATCCTGGTAAGAACCGGCCCCCACACTCACAAACATATACTGTATGATATACATATTTAAATAGTGATATATTCAGTATATGTCTAAGCAGACCAAAATCTGTGCAATGGGACTCTTCTTTGCTCTCCTTCCTCTTGTGCTTATTTTCATGTGTTGCAAATCCTATCAAGATAGTCTCTCTAGTCCCCAGAGCCAATCCATGGGAAGATGGAGGAAGAGAACAATCTGTTTCACTGACAGATGCCAATCTCTCTGTATTGACCAAGGTTATTGGTGTAACTATCTAAAATTGACCCCAGATTATTACAAGATTTTTAAATTTAGCAACATTCTTACATTAAATCTAAAATTTGTATTAATTTGTCAAATGGGATCATTGTCTTCAGATCTATTTATTTATATTCAATTTATATAGTTCCCATCTCAAACAAGTGGCTGTGAACAGCAAACAAACAAGAAGCAGCAGAAAACCAACAAAACATCAAAATGAATAGATAATCAGCAGCCAAGATAAAAACAACAACCATAACTAAAAGCCAACATGGGTTTGTCAAAAACAGATCATGCCAGACAAATCTTATTGCATTCTTTAACCAAGTGACAAAATTAGTGGACCAGAGGAATGTTGTGGATATAATTTACTTGGACTTCAGTAAGGCATTTGATAAAGTAGATCACAACCTCCTACTACTTGATAAGATAGAAAAATGTGGGTTAGACAGCATCACCATCAGATGGATCTGTAGCTGGCTGACCGGCCGTACTCAGCGTGTGGTCCTCAATGGAACCACATCTGCATGGAGGGAAGTGTGTAGTGGAGTGCCCCAGGGCTCTGTTCTGGGCTCTTCAACATCTTCATCAACGATTTGGACGAGGGGATAGATGGGGAAATCATCAAATTTGCAGATGACACCAAGCTGGCAGGAATAGCCAACACTCCAGAAGACAGGCTTAGGATACAGGAGGATCTGGACAGACTTGAATACTGGGCGCTATCTAACAAAATGAAATTCAATGGTGAAAAAAGTAAGGTTCTACATTTAGGCAAGAAAAACCAAATGTACAGGTATAGTATAGGGGGTACCTTGCTCAATAGTAGTAACTGTGAGAGGGACCTTGGAGTCCTAGTGGACAATCACTTAAATATGAGCCAGCAGTGTGCTGCAGCTGCCAAAAAGGCCAA